AGTAGTAGTAGTAGTAGTAGTAATAGTAGTTGTAGTTGTAGTAGTAGTAGTAGTAGTAGTAGTAGTAGTAGTAGTAGTAGTAGTAGTAGTAGTAATAGTAGTAGTAGTAGTAGAAGAAGAAGAAGTAGAAGTAGCAGCCCTAGCAGTAGTAGTCTCAGTAGTAGTACCGCTACCACTACTACTAGTACTAATTGTAGCCGTAGTCGTGGTGGTAGTAGGCTTTATAACAACAGCAGTCGTCGTAGTCGTAGAACAATTTGCAAACATAGTATTCAGAAGAGCAGAATATGATAGTCGACGTCGTCGTCGTAATAGGAGCCGTCGTCGTTGGACTAGTATCAGGATGACGTCCTGGACGGGGAGGAGGTGAAGGAACGGGCGGAGGAGGAAAAAGAGGAGGAAGAGGAGCAGATGCAGGATGAGGAGGAGGATGAGGAGGAGGAGGTATTCGCCGGAGGGAGAAGACGCTTCTCCCTCGCTTCCCCCTTCCTCGCCCTGGCCCCGTCGGCCCCGCTCCTGCAGCATCCCGAGGCAGAGGCTCGCGTCGCGGTCGCCCGCCGGCGCCGCCGCCGCGCGGCTCGCGATCCCCTGCAGGACCTCTCGCGGGCCGCTCGAGGCTCTCGGGGCTGGGCTGTTCGTCGCCGCCGTCGCGGTCGCGCTCGTAGGAGGGGCGCTCCTCCTCCCCCTCCTCCTCCTCCTCCTCCTCCTCCTCCTCCTCCTCCGCCGCGCGGCTCGTGATCCCCTGCAGGACCTCTCGCGGGCCGCTCGAGGCTCTCGGGGCTGGGCGGTTCGTCGCCGCCGTCGCGGTCGCGCTCGTAGGAGGGGCGCTCCTCCTCTCCCTCCTCCTCCTCCTCCTCCTCCTCCTCCTCCTCCTCCTCCTCTTCCGACTCTCCCTCGTCTCATGCTGCTTCTGCTGCTCCTTCTTTTCCTCCACTCACAACGGTCATGCAAACACATGCTGTTTCTAAACTCCTGCTATATAGCGTCCTGACCACTCCATCCTGGTCATCGCTCCAGCACGACACCTGCAACAACCACGCGGCTCGCGAAGCCGCTGCACATATTTTGAACTAACTCGAGGCTGCGCGGGAACCTTTTTTGCAAGTCCTCCGGCGTCCTGGAAGAATGTGGACACGCACCAGATGTCTTCATCCTGCTCTGGACGCGGGGGGGGGCCTCTGGAGGCTGTGTTCTTCTGTCCGGGAGCTCCCTGGACTCTAGCGGCTGTTGGGGTCCCTTGGGTGCGCCATGGAGGTGCCCTGCAGGTCACTGGATGAACCCTGGAATCACCTGGCAACTCGAGCCCCGCTGGTCTCCATGGCTTCCCCCTGGGGTGCTGCCCTGGTCTCTCGGGACGCCGCGGTGCCGACCCAGACGTGCGACGCCTCGCGGATTTCAGCACGGGCCCCCTGGAAGTGCCGATCCTCTGCCCAGAGCCGGCTCCTCGTCCCGAGCCGATCTCCTGCACGGCCCCATGGGGCCCAGCGAGGGCCCCCCGGAGGCCGAAGACGGCCACGAACCTCCCGTTGTGGCCTCTGCACGGCGCGAGCGCGTCTGGGGGCGGGGCCTCCGACGCCCTCCCGGTGCCGGAGCAGGGGCCGACCGCCCCGGCAGTCCCGCAGACATTCCACGACAGGTGTTAAAAAACCGGCAGGTGCTACAAAGAAGCGAGGGGAGTGCTCTCACAACGCAAGGATTGTCGGCTAGAGCGGGACGGTCTCGGACAGGAAGGTTCGAAGCACACCTCGCGCAGGCCACGCAGAAGCCTCTGATAACCCCCCCCAGAAAGGCAACCACAGAAACTTGTGGCGTTCCGCGCGGAGTTCTTGGATCTGCGCTGGACCCCCGCGCGCGGAACGCACCGCCGAACATATTTATGTTAACGTCGTTTTGTGTTCGCCGATGTGAACATTCTTCGCTGGCTCTATGAGCCACCAACGCTTCGCCACAGCTTGACCCTCCCCCGTTCCTGGGGGGGGGGGCGCCCGCCTGCACCGCCGCAGCCGAAGGCGAGCTGGCAGACGCGCCAGGCCCGACGTAGAGTGCGCGCAGCGCGGTGGCGAAGATGTGGGCCTGTGGTGTGGCCAGGCCTCCACCCCCTCCTCCTCCTCCTCCTCCTCCTCCTCCTCCTCCTCCTCCTCCTCCTCCTCCTCCTCCTGAAGCAGAAACCGAAACCGACCTCATCCAGTGTCCACTCGTTCTGCCCGTAAGCCATAAGGCAGGCATGTTAAGCGCAGCGGCAGCGGACAGCTGTCTGGCTGGTTAGGCGATCGCTATGGATAGGAGGCCTGAGTTGAACAGGTTGACGGGACAATTCAGGGGGGGGGGGCACGGCGGTAACCAAGACGCTAGATTAATTTCACGTACGAGGTTCAAACAGCGATGCGGCGTCTGACCGATGTCACTGGACTAATTAAACAGTTTTTGTTGACCTGCTCGAGCCTTGGTCACTGTAGCTACGGTGGCGAAGCCATTGTGGGGGGTCTTGCGCTTGAGCTTGCGATTCAAAGGCATCGTCGACCGAAAGATGGATAACACACTTGCGCTGTCAACCAGACTTAACTACCACCCGGAGGCCCACGTCAAAGTTAAGTGTGTTTGGCTATTCCGTACGGTATCCAATGTATCAAACCTGGGCTGCACCCCGCTTGCTGACACTATGACAGACAAGATATTCACGATTCACGTGCGCTCTGCCGTGAACGCGTTCCAGATCTGTTGATTATTGGAAGTGAAGGGTATGGCGGCACAGCCGACATCGGTAGACAATACTGATTGTGCTTATGTAGCGTAACCTCGCCCCTTCACTTTCGAGTGCCATGTCGAATGCAGAGAGACCGGATCATGCGAATGCGCTGTAAGGGGACAAAGTCCTCGGACGCTCAGATCGAAGCCGCAGTCGGAAGCCCATGGCCAATGGCTACAGGGTGGGATTGGCCGAGAAGCAAGGATGCAGGGGCACCCTTTGAAAGTTGATCATGTGTATGATAAGGCTCCACTGCTTGGGGCAGGACGAGCTGAGACAACGACATCTCAAAATCGATCCCCTGACCCCTACCAGGGTCCAAACGCACCAATTGTCCGAGCTGCGTCCAGCCGTGGCGACGCGGCCCCCCCCGATGTCCTACTGCCGTTGTCTCAACTCGCCCTCCCCCGATTGAAAAGTGACTCGTCCGCATGACGCGGCTTCACTGCGCACTGCTGTGACCATGTCCGCCGCATCCTCTCGAGTAGAAGCGGGCACCGCTCTCAGCAATCGGGGCAGCGCCTGAGGCGTGGCGAGCTCGGCGCCGGTGCGCCCCAGCGCCTTCGGCAGCGCCGCCTCCTCCTCCTTCTCCTATTGCTCCTGCTCGTCTTCCTCCCTCTTTTTGTTTCCGCCTCCTCCTCCTCCTCCTCCTCCTCGTTATCATCCTCGTCCTCCTCTTCCAGCTCCTCCTCCTCCTCCTCCTCCTCCCTCTTCCTCCTCCTCCTCCTCCTGCTCCTCCTCTTCCTCCTCCTCTTCCTCCTCTTCCTCGTCCTCCTCCTCCTCCTCCTCCTCCTCCACCTTCCTCCTCCTCCTCCTCCTCCTCCTCCTCTTCCTCCCTTTTTTTGTTCCTCCTCCTCGTCGTCCTTATCCTCCTCCTCCTCCTCCTCCTCCTCCTCCTCCTCCTCCTTCGCCTCCTCCTCCGCGTAGGTGCAGTCGAATCGACAGGCAGGGCAATGCATGGAGCTCGGCGGCGTCGTTTTGAATGTGCTGTGCCCAGGGCGCCAGGATCGGTCAGCGCCGACTCGGGAGATCGGATCCAATCGGAGTGTGCGTCGGATTCAATCGGAGTGTGTGTGTGTGTGTGTGCAAAGGCGTTTACAGTCGGGGCGTTGACCTAAGGAACCCTGAATAAGGAACGGGGCCCCTTTTTCTCATAAGTTAAACTTCGATTCCCCATGGGAAATCTCAGGAAAACCTGAGGCAAGCTGTGAAACACTTCAGGAACGCGGAGCCCCTCCCCAACGAAAAGGGTGCCTTCTTCAGCGCCCCGACTGTAGAACAACAGCGAACAACGACACGAAACAATAACGAAGAACGAAAGGAATAACACGATCGGATCCGATCGGAGTGTGCGTCGGATTCATTCGGAGTGTGTGTGTGTGTGTGTAAAAGGCGTTGAGACAAACAGCGAACAACGACACGAAACGATAGCGAAAAACGAAAGGAACAGCACGACACGACAAGGGGGCCCAAACCAAGCTGAATAGCCTTGTGGCCGGCCCTTGGTGATCAGTCCACACCGAGCCAGGAAATCGGGACGGATCGGGAGGTGCGTCGGATCGGGCCGCAACGGCACGGACTCGGAGTCGGATCAGATCGGCTGCGCTGGGGTGCACAGCGGCGCCAGGCAAGAAGCATGGCTCGCCCGATCGCTCGAGGATCAGAGTCGAAGCGGGTCGAGCCAGGCGGAGTCGGTATCGATTTGGATCGACCGAAGGGAAACGGGCCCTACGAGCCAGGTACGACCAAATTGAGAGGGCCGCTGCGATGGTCCTTTCAAGCACCAGCATGATGCGCGAGGGGCGCCCGTAACCTTGCCGACGCGGACGAAGTGAGGGGTTTGCCTTGAATGTCTTGGGCGATAGCACCGGGGAGGGCTTCTTGTTGAAAGTGCGAGCTGCGGATCGAGTAACAACCCCGACGAGATGGCATGAACAGAGACGTGTGGGTTCATGCGAACACGGCCTTCGTCCTCTGACATCTCCCGCGGCCTGTCTGCGAAAAGACCCAATCACCGTGCTTCCTCTCAAAGCCCCGCTGTCCAAGGCAGGCCCCCGTCCGGACTCCCCCGCGCATCCCATGGGCAATCCGGCAGAACCCTCATTGAGACCCTCCTCGCAGCTCTCGCCCTCTTCGAAGCTTGATTTAGGACGTGCTGCCCTTACGTGCCAACGACCCAGAAACTCACAGGTGTCTACTGTGCAGTGTCTTCCTGCTTTTGCGCTGGTCAGCGATTTTGCGAAGGCTTGCGTAGCGGGGGCTCATTTGTAGTATCATGGAACGCTGCCTGGATTCCCCTGTCAATCTGGTTCTTCTTGATTTGGGCGCTGGTTCCTCATCGGTTCTGATTGTGTTTGCTTTGCGTTCTTGGTCTGGATTTGCTTGTGCTACTTGTGTTTGCCTTGCTGTGACTCTTATTGCCAGATTCGCAAATCTACGCGCTACTATTCAACACTGAGCGATGACATGTCATTGTATATTTCCTGCTCCGCTACGCAATTTCACGCCGTTGTACTACATGCTACTATACGCAACACTTTGTTAGGGGCGCGAAAACATGTTGCCCTGTGCTGTGCTGTCGTTTCCGTTCCGATGCAATGCAATGACTGGCCACGCTATACTGTGCAATGATTTGCGTTGCCATGCTACGCAACAGAGTTATATGCTGAGGCTAACCGAGCTACAGACAACGAGTCCCATCATAACAGTACAATGAAATGGTATGTTATGACACGCAACGCTATGTTATGTACTATGCGGTAGGGTTGTATGTTTCGATGCTGCGTCATGTGACGGCATCCAACGCAACGCAATGATGTTCAAAACCATGTAGCGTTGTGCAATGGCACGCTACCCAATGTAACACGATATCATACCAAGCATTGCTATACACTGCCCCGCTATGGATACCCATGCTCCGCCGGGCACTGATTGGTGCTACCAAGTTCTGCCGCTATATCATATTAACGGCTATGCGCAGCTTCAGGATGCTCCACAATACATTCCACTCGTGCGTTATGTTGTGTAATGCTATGCGATGACATTCGCTGCCATGCCATGCTACACCATGGTCTGCGATGCGTTGTGATAATCTGCGCTGGTAAGATGTGCCTTGCCGCGATGCGCTAAACTATGTTCTGCATGCCGCGCAGCCTAGTGCCATGATTCGCCACGCTATGTGAGACTACGCCATGTTGCTGCGGTATGACTGCAACGCTGGGCCACGGCATGCTTTGCTCTGATATGCATGCTCTAGCTTGTTATCCATGTGTTGACACATTGAGCTGTGCAGCGATACTACTGCACTGCTGCGCCGTACTCTACCATGCTACGCTGAGCTAAGCAATATAATGCTGCGCCAAACCTTAGTATGCTATGCACTGCTTTGCTATGCTAAACTATGCTTCGCATTGAACGTAATTGCGTTGTATGTGCATGCTTTCGCGAAGATAACCTCTATCGGGTTCGCGCAGGGTTCATGCAATCGCGTGCGTGACCGTGGTCCTAGGGTCTCCGAGCCAGAGGTACAGAGCAGGGTGAAGCCATGCCCCCAGAAGTCTGCCTTCGGGCCCCTAGGATCTCATCAAGATGCCAAAGTCCATAGAGGCAGTCCAAGACTCTCCAAACCAATGCCCGTGCGCGCGCTGCTCAGTCGGGCCCTACTTAGGACGACACCACTGCCCTCGCCGCCGTGACCCAATATTCGTTGCCAACTTATCACTGCTGGCCTGGCCGCTTCAGTCTTACTCTTGATTGCATCCACCGCGGCGCTGGAAGAACTGAGTGTATATGACGTCCAGCTACCTCTCTGTCTCCTGCCCTCGCTCTCCCCATTGCGCCGACCTCGGCGCCCTTGCTCTGCTTCCCACGCCCCTCTTCCTGCATCAATCTGTCTCGCCTGCCCATTCTCCTGCGCCCCATTTTTCCCACCCTGGGGCCTGCAGAATGGCACGCTCTTCCGCACCAGAGGATCGTCCCCATTCGATGTCAGCAAAACCCTGAACACTGCATCCGGCGGGTGCGACCACTTGCCGCGCTGGAGAACTTTCCTGTCATGCACGGCCTTCTTTCTGCTTCGTTGCAATGAACTTGACAACTTGCTGTCTGTTTGTCGGTGGCGCGTCCAGAGCGGGAGGCAGAGGAGGCGGGCTCTCTGAGAAAGCCTCGGGCCTTCCGAGGAAACTTCATCAACCCCTCGCCGAAGCCATAATTAGGGGGCCTTGCTCTCAGAGAGCCGGACGGCTTCCTCCGAAGCCCCGCCGCCTTCTGAGCTGGCCTGCCCTCTCTTCCTTCACCCCCAATGATCCTCGGCGTCCGGCTTTCGGGTCATCGCTCGGCGTCTGTGGCAGCCTTTCGGGACGATCCAGACACCCCTGGAACGCTCTCGGCGAGGCGCAGCTGCTGGAACGCATCCCGAGGCTGGAAAACCCAGGAGACCCTACGAAAACGCCCCCCTCGAACTTCCCAGACATGCGATGTCTTGAATGTCTCGACACGGGGTTCCCACAAGTCACGAACGACCCTTTCCCCAGGGCCCGTTTCTCATCCCGAATCGCTTCTTGACGGTCCAGGGACCCGGCCAAGGCTCCTGCGAGAGGGACCAGACACTTCCGGTCGTAACTTTTCCTCGGCGCGAGCATGCCTGGGTCCCCCCCCCCCTCGGCGCGCCGCCGAGTTTGGCCCCCTCTGGGCTGCCGCAGCACGTGCAGTGCCAGGGGTGGCGGCCCGTCTTCCCATCCCACCATCGCCGGGGTGTGCGAGGTCCTTGAAGACGGGACGGGGTTGGCACGAGTGAGCGTCCTTGCTGGCTCAAGACCAAGAACGGCATCCTAGCCTCCTCCCTGGCCCCTCTCGTGCCGGCTGTGCGCCGGAGCGGCCCCGGGCAAGAGTGACCTCTCGTGCACGGCTTTGGGGGGCGCGCGACGGGGCCAGAACCAAGCACGCCGGCCGCTCCCATCGCACCTGGCTCCACGATCGGGGAGTACCCGTGGGCCCGCACCAAAGGTCACTCCGGCGCAGGGCCACTCTTACGTGCAATCGACTCACTTCATGCGCAGCAGCACCCCAAGCCCTCGAGGCCGTGATATGTTTCACAACGTCGACCCCCAGAGGTCTGGCTCCCTTCCCCGGGACCGGTTTCTCCTCGAGTCGTTTTTGCCGGTCCCGGGGCCCAGTGAGGGGCAATGGAGGCCGAACGTCAGGAACAACCTCCCGTCGTGACTTTCGTCTTCGCGACACGAGGCGGTCTGGGCACGCAGAACCCTCGCAACCAAGCTGTCTCGGCACAACCGACCAGCGATAACTGCGGGAGCTGTGGTCCTTACCCCCCCTGGGGGAACCCATCGCATCGACGATCTCTCGAGAGGGGTGTCGAAATCGATGGGTCCCCCAGGGGGGTAAGGACCACAGCTCCCCCAGTTGTGGCTGTCCCGGCACGAGCAGCACCAGCACACGCCTCCCGGGGGGTTCGCGCGGGCTTCTCGGCCGGGTGCTCGGTACCCTCCCTCCCCTCGGCGCGCGGAGCGCGCTACACAGGGGCGGCGCCGCCCTGGGGGGGGGATCCTATAGCGCTGGCCAGAGGCATCCGCGCAGGCTCTGGGCGTGTTCATGCAGGCAGGCCCAGAGAGATCCAAAGCATGAAACAATCTTGACGCTTTTCGCTGCTTTCGGCTTCTATAGGGGCCCTCGCCGGGCCCCGGGACCCTTCCAGGGACCCCGTGTGGAACACATCACGACATCGGCGGATCTCGGGGGGCAGTGGGCCTTCCATCCAGAAGTCGGAAGCCACCTCCGGCATGTGCCCCTACAGGCGGTTTTTGGAAGACAAATGAAAAAGACAGTCAAACCATGATCCAAAGCAGTCAACACACACTCGAAACATCGTCCCCAGTCTTGTTTTTGTAAACTATTGTTGGATACTCCTCCTGCAGAGGGACCTGCCCGTCTCAGCCGTGGGCCTCCGATCTGGACGTCGGAAGCCACCTCGGCATCCGCCCTCCCTGCAGCCATCGCTCGGACGTCCATTTCCTGTGTTTTTTTCAGTTTCGTGCGTGGTTTTTTCGCGAACTGATCAAGGATGCTCCTCGATGGTCCTCGCCGAAGGAAACATGCACACGTCCGAGCGATGCCAAGCTCCTCCCCCGCACGGAGCCCGGGGCCTCCGCGAGCGCCGCCAGCACGAGCCTCCCGCGGGCCGCCAGGCGCCCCCGGGCCGCCGGCGCGGCGCCCGGCGGCGTGCGGCAGAGCACCTGGCGGGACCCCTGCGGCGACGACGGCGACGACGACGACGGCGGCCACGGCGGCGACGGCGACGACGACGGCGACGACGGCGACGACGACGACGGCGACGGCGACGGCGGCGATTGCGAAGAGCGACGACGGCGACGGGCGACCAGCGACGCTGACGACGAGAACGACGCCGGCGACGGCGACGACGCTGGCGACGACGACGACGCCGGCGACGACGACGCCGCCGACGACGAAGACGCGCAAGAGCGCTCGCTCGAGACGTTCGGCCACGGCAGAGCACCTAGTCCCACCCGCCCTCTGGGCGTCGGTGGTTGAGGGAGTTTCCTCTTCAACCCCTCCTTCTTCCCCTTCGGGGAGGGGTTTACCCCTCCCCCTACCCCCTCCCCATGGACCTGGACAAGGGGTTTCGCGAGTCGTCGGAGCGTCCAAAACGGCCTCGGCGAGGAAGCCAAAATCGTTGGTTTTACTACGGTTTTGGCCCCATTTTGGCCTCCTGGGGGGGGGGGACGCTAATTTGTGCTCCCCTCTTGTTTGATCGATCTCCTCCAAGATGGCCCCAAGAAGCGCCCATGAGGCCCCAAGAGGTCCCAAGATGGCCCCAAGATGGCCCCAAGAGGCCCCCAAGAGGCCCCCAGGAGGCCCCCAAGAGATCCCCAGGAGGCCCCCAAGAGACCCCCCAGAGGCACCCAAGATGCTCCAAGAGGCCTCGGCGAGAATGCCAAACCATTTAGATGTTACGAAGGTTTTAGCCACATGTTGGCCTCTTGGGGGGGGGGGGGGCACTGATTAAGATGACTCCAAGAGCGCCTGGGAGAGCCCAAATGACCTCCACGATGGCTCAAGATATCCCAAGATTTCTCATAATGGCTTCCTCTGTGTGCTGCCCAATTCCCTGATCGAGGCAATTTCTCTGTGCATCGTTTCTGGATGGGCTGGTGGGGATTCGCGAAGCGTCCATAATTTTTTGAATTAGGGTTAAGCCCCAAACATGCTCGCGCCATGGGCAAAACCACGGCGGGCAATTGTTGGCCGCTCTTGGCCTCTGGGGGCCCTCGCCAGGCTCTGAGGGCCTTCAAGAAAGGACTCGGGGTGAGAAGCCAGCCCTGGGGAAAGGGTCGGGACATGTGGGAACACCGTGTTGACAACATCAAATCATCGTATGTCTGGGGCATCACGTCCACCAAGCGGCGATGGTTCTGGGCGCTGCAGGGCTGGGAGCCACCAGAGCCATGCGGCCCCGCGGCGTGCATCGGAGGAACGCCTGGTCAGCTGTGCATTCGACACAGGGAGGAGGAGGAGGAGGAGGAGGAGGAGGAGGAGGAGGAGGAGGAGGAGGGAGGAGGAGGAGGAGAGGAGGAGGGGAGGAGGAGGAGGAGGAGGAGGAGGAGGAGGAGGAGGAGGAGAGGAGGAGGAGAAGAGGAGGAGGAGGAGGAGGGGAGGAGGAGGAGGAAGAGGAGGAGGAGGAGGAGGAGGAGAAGCGAGCGAGAAAGAGGAGGAAGAAGAGGAGGAGAAGGAGCGAGAAAGAGGAGGAGGTGGAGGAGGAGGAGGAGGGGAGGAGGAGGAGGAGAGGAGCGAAAACGAGCAGGAGGAGGAGGGAAGGAGGAAGAGGGAGGAGGAGGAGGAGGAGGAGGAGGAGGAGGAGAGGAGGAGGAGGAGGAGGAGGAGGAGGAGGAGGGGAGGAGGAGGAGGAGGAGGAGGAGGAGCGAGAAAGAGGAGGAGGAGGAGGAGGAGGAGGAGGAGGAGGAGGAGCAGGAGGAGGAGGAACGAGCGAGAAAGACGAGGAGAAGGAGAAGGAGATGGAGGAGGAGGAGGAGGAACGAAGAGCGAGGAGGAGGACGAGCGAGGCACGCCAGGGGCCTGTCACTGCGGGACGGGGTGGATGCTGCATGCCGCAGCCGCGGGCTGCTTCGTCCCTCCCTGGTCTCGCCAGAAGACAACGTTGAACCCTTGCGGCGGACAACCATGAGCAGCTCCACGCAGCTCACACGATGGGTCATCCGAATTCCATACCATACAGTAATTACGTAGGAGCTCGACCACAAGACATCTTCCACGAGAAACCCAACCCTGAGACCCCAGGACTTCCCAAAGACCACCCCCCCTGAGCTGGTGACACCCGCCTCCCACATGAGGAATTTTAGACCAACTATGAAGGCGCCCAGGGACGCACAAACAATACACGCAAATACCAGGAGTCTGAATATTTTGAAATCTTTGTCGGGGTTTTCGTCTTCCCCTCCACTTCCCATATTTCCCTATAGTTCACTGGGAATCGACGATTAATCGTGTCTCTGTGTTTTCTCCCCTCCCGAAACTAGACCGCGCGCGCGGCCCCCCCCTCACCCCCCCTGCGGCAACCGGCGGTGGCCTCGCTTGCAGGGCGCCTGCATCTACGCGCGTTCGCCCAACTTGCAACACGCTGACATGCATACACACTACCATATATATATATATATATATGTATATATATAGATATGTCTATATATGTATATATGTATATATATATATATATATGTATATGTGTGTATATATATATATATATTCAAACAATCCGCTGTTCTGGGGGCAGGGGTCGGTCTCCCACTGTTCTTCGGGGAGCGCGGCGCGGCACCCGGGGCGCCGCTGGCTCGGAGGGGGGGGGGAGAGCGCTCCCCCCCCAGCCGGTGGTGGCGGCTCCCTTGCCCCTCTCTGGAGAGCATGGAGGGGCTACGACGGGCCGCCGCTGCGGGGGGCACGGGCTCCCTCACAGGGCGTGTGAAGAAGCACACAAACGCATACGTATGCGTATATATATATATATATATATATGTATGTGTAGATACCCCTACATAAAACGTGTACATACTATGTAGATATGCATGTGTATGTATATATATATATATAGCCCTGTGCACCCACCAAGAACCCCCTTTCTCATGATTTTATGTGAATTTATATATATGATTCCTACGATTTTCGGACTCACTTTTGAGGCTCTTTTTCGCAACCATCCTGTGGTGTTGGGTCCTCGTTTTGAAGAGACGGTGCCCCGCGTTCCTTCCTTCCTCCTTCCTCCTCCCCTCCTCCTCCCCCTCCCATCACCGCCCCATTTTGGTGCACCCCTCACACGGTTCGTGGCCCCATAGGGAGCTCCACCGAAGGCCCCAGTGGCTGCGTTCGCATGGCGGCCCCGCCCCATTCTGGCGCACCCCTCACACGGTTCGTGGCCCCATAGGGAGCTCCACCGAAGGCCCCAGTGGCTGCGTTCGCATGGCGGCCCCGCCCCATTCTGGCGCACCCCTCACACGGTTCGTGGCCCCATAGGGAGCTCCACCGAAGGCCCCAGTGGCTGCGTTCGCATGGCGGCCCCGCCCCATTTCGGCGCACCCCTCACATGGCCCCACAGGGAGCTCCACCGAAGGCCCCAGTGGCTGCGTTCGCATGGCGGCCCCGCCCCATTCTGGCGCACCCCTCACACGGTTCGTGGCCCCATAGGGAGCTCCACCGAAGGCCCCAGTGGCTGCGTTCGCATGGCGGCCCCGCCCCATTCTGGCGCACCCCTCACACGGTTCGTGGCCCCATAGGGAGCTCCACCGAAGGCCCCAGTGGCTGCGTTCGCATGGCGGCCCCGCCCCATTCTGGCGCACCCCTCACACGGTTCGTGGCCCCATAGGGAGCTCCACCGAAGGCCCCAGTGGCTGCGTTCGCATGGCGGCCCCGCCCCATTTTGGCGCACCCCTCACACGGTTCGTGGCCCCATAGGGAGCTCCACCGAAGGCCCCAGTGGCTGCGTTCGCTGGCGGCTCCACCGCCCCATTCTGGCGCACCCATAGGGAGCTCCACCGAAGGCCCCACATGCGGTTTCGGCCCCATAGGGAGCTCCACCGAAGGCCCCAGTGGCTGCGTTCGCATGGCGGCCCCGCCCCATTCTGGCGCACCCCTCACACGGTTCGTGGCCCCATAGGGAGCTCCACCGAAGGCCCCAGTGGCTGCGTTCGCATGGCGGCCCCGCCCCATTTCGGCACACCCCTCACGAGGATCGTGGCCCCATAGGGAGCTCCACCGAAGGCCCCAGTGGCTGCGTTCGCATGGCGGCCCCGCCCCATTCTGGCGCACCCCTCACACGGTTCGTGGCCCCATAGGGAGCTCCACCGAAGGCCCCAGTGGCTGCGTTCGCATGGCGGCCCCGCCCCATTTCGGCACACCCCTCACGAGGATCGTGGCCCCATAGGGAGCTCCACCGAAGGCCTCAGTGGCAGGGTTCGCATGGCGGCCCCGCCACATTTCGGCACACCCCTCACGAGGATCGTGGCCCCACAGGGAGCTCTACCGAAGGCCTCAGTGGCAGGGTTCGCATGGCGGCCCCGCCCCATTTCGGCACACCCCTCACGAGGATCGTGGCCCCACAGGGAGCTCCACCGAAGACGAAATACACAGTCGCGGTATCCACTACTGCATATGGTTGGGTTCTTCGCCAGGCTAATTTGGAAGACTTTTTGGGCTCCCTTCTACTCAACTCCCTCCGTCTCCAACACAACACCCAGTACTCAACAGCCTCCTTCTCCAACACAACACCCGATACTCAACAAGCTCCCTCCCCAAGCTGAACTTGAAAAGAACCTTCTACTCAACTCCCTCCGTCTCCAACACAACACCCAGTACTCAACAGCCTCCTTCTCCAACACAACACCCGATACTCAACAGGCTCCCTCCGTCTCCAACGCACACACATGTACTCCAGATCCGACCACCACAACACGACGCGACACCCGAAACTCCAACCGCACCCGCCCCCTTTTTTCTTGGCATCTTCCAAGAGAAAAAGGGGGTTCATGGTGGGTGCACCGGCCTATATATATATATATATAGATATATACACGGCCGATTTCGGCAAACCTGAAACGAACACCGTTTTCATCTCTAGGGAACGTATCTTTTCCTTCCGCCGCCTTCCGCCGCCCTTCCGCCGGCTTCCGCCGGCGGAGGCGGCCTCGTTCTACCTCCGCCGACCTTCCGTCGCTCTTCCGCCGCCCTCCGCCGCGGAAGAGGTGCCAATCCCTTCTATCCTCGAAGGCGAGGCCCTTTTTTGGAACGCCCTAGATGTGGTCGGAGTAGATGGGGTCGGAGGATCGCCCCGCATCGACGATACATCGGCGATGTACAGGCGATGCATCGGTGATGCACCAGCGATGCATCGTCGACGTCGGCGATGCATCGGCGACTCGACGTGAAGCAAATCGGGCTTCACATCGAGCCGCATCGGCGATGCATCGGCGATGCGTCGCGATCCTCCGACCCCCTTCTACTCGGGCCCCGTCTGGGAAGCCTAGACTATGTTTACACATACCTACATATATGCAAAACCTATAAACAAGCTGCTCCGGCACAAACATTATGTTGCCCCGATCGTACTTAAGGGCCACATCCCAAACATAATTCCGAGCACCCCGAAACGGATCGACAGGGTGTCGAACGAGCATCGCCTCCCAGGGCCCGACACGCGACAAACCTCCTGTTTCGGCACTCTCTTGGTGCTCGACACCCTTTCTGGTGGTCGAGGCCAAAAGGTAGGTTGGTACATCATACAGTCGGGGCGTTGACCTAGGGAACCCTAAACAAGGAACGAGGCCCCTTTTTTCCATAAGTTAACCTTCGATTTCCGGTCGAAAGCATAAGGAAAGCCTGAGGCAAGCTGTGAAACAATCAAGGAACACCGAGCCCCTCCCCAACGAAAAGGGTTCCTTCTGCAGGGCCCCGGCTGTAACAGAAACGGCACGAACACAACATTTCTGGGGGCCGCGCGGGCTGCCCCGCTCGGTGCTCGAGCCCTCCCTCCTCGGCGCGCGCGCGGAGCGCGCGCGGGGGGCGGCGCCGCCCGAGGGGGGGGATCCCAGCGCCGACCCGAGACATGCGCGCAGACGGTGCCGAGAGCAAAAATGGGGGGAAAACAAACCTACCTCGCTTTTGACCACCCTCGCTTCCAAGAGATACCCAGCGATGCCAGACTACGGCCCGTACTGGTTAGGCCGCTTGACGAGGGGGCGCGTGGTATGATTTGGTTTTGCCTGGAAGCGAAAGCGGGGTAGGTAATTCACGCTCTGAAAAAAACCAACCGCCATAACAGGGCACCCCCCGACAAGCGAAGCCGTTCCGTAAACGAAGCCGTGGAGGGAACCGAACAGGGCGGGGCGGATCCGTAAACGGCCAGGGCCGATTAGTAAACGCCAGCCGTCGGCGTCGGGCTGCTTAAGTGGTTTGTTCCCACCTTGACTCTGTGCATGTCTATTCCCTAGTAGCGCTCCGCTACGAGGGTTCTCATACCTGCAGGAGAATACCGCGGAGGAGTCTCACACGGGGGGGACGGGGAGCCCTAGATCTCTTGTTCTGGCAACCGTTTCGCCTGAGACTTTCTCGCAATGTCTTCAGGAGTCGTGCTCTCGTCCCCCAGACCCCCTCGAACCGTGGACAAATCATGACGGTTCTCGCAATTATCAGCCTCTGGAAGCCCTTACCGGGCCTCGGGACCGTCAAGAAACGACTCAGGATGAGAAACCAGTCCTGGGGAAGGGGGGTCGACGTTACGAAACAATCATGACGTCGGGGGTCTGGGGGGGAGGAGGAGGAGGAGGAGGAGGAGGAGGAGGAGGAGGAGGAGGAGGAGGAGGAGGAGGAGGAGGAGGAGGAGGAGGAGGAGGAGGAGGAGGAGGAGCTTCATTGCTCCACATTCGCGTGTCCTTCGAGGTTCCCACAAGGGGGTCGGGAGCCCGCGACCGCCCCCCGAAGCTCTCTTGGCCTGGCGGCCGCTTCGCCTGAAAACTAATCCACTTCCACTGATCAGCAACCGCACGTCTCGCCTCACTCGGTGGCGGCTACATTTTTGGTCCGGACGGCCACGACCCCTCGTACAGGAAGGGCCCGGCCGCAAGAAACCTTCCACGGGAAACCCAAACCCTAAGACCCCATGGCGTCCATGGAGTTTTGGTGTAGGAACGTCACGCTTTCCGTAGCAAAACCCGAGCACCCTGGAGGCAAGCACGTTTTCACTGGCCGACCTACTCGGAAGAAGAAACAACGACATAAACATACACTGTTGGCGCTCCGCGCGGATTTCTTGGATCTGCGCTGGCCCCCCCTCCCTGGCGCGCGGAGCGCGCCAGGGGCGGCGCTGGAGGCGCCGCCAGGGGGGCCAAGCGCGGATCCAAGACATTTGCGCGGCGCGCCAAAAGTTTATGGTTCATGCACTTTGTTTCTTCTCCGGCCTCCTGCTCCTCGACCCGCGTCTCTTCGCCCTTGCTGCCATACCAGGGTGCTTTGCCGGGGTCATGCCTGCGGATTTGTTGTTCGTCTTCGATTCGCCCGCCCACGTCCCCGCTCGATTTGGGGGCCCCACAGCCGTGTGGTGACAGAGCCGGCGGTGACCTCGAAATCCACAAAGACCTCACCGCAAAAGGTCCTTCATCACGCGGTCGTTGGACCCTGGGAGGCCCCAGCCGCCTGAGGCATCCTCGGAGCACGACCCCAGTCCCAAAACCGTGCGGTGACCCTGGATCCCACCCGACTCGCCACACGGCGTGGCCACCACCCCGTTTGGGGGCCCCCGCCTGCTGCTCCCGCCCCCGCTCTCCCGCTCCGGGGCTGCTGCTTCGGCACCAGCTCTCTGGCTCCGACCGTGGGTCTCGGGCTCTGGCTCCTGCCCTACCGCTCCCTCTCGCTCCCGCTCGGGCTCCTCCTCCTCGTCCGCCTCCTCCTCCTCCTGCTCCTCCGCCTCCTCCTCCTCGTGCTCCTCCTCTACCGCTCCCATTTCCCACTTCCGCTCCTGTTTCCGTCGCTGCTTCCGCTGCTGCTGCTGCTGGTCCCGCTGCTGCGTCCCAGGAGCTGTTCTGGAGTCATGCCCTTCTCCTCCTGCCTTTCGCCCTCGCCCGCGCCCTGGCCAGCCCCAGCCACGGTGCAGCTGTGCGTCGTGCGGGGCCTTCATCGAGATGCCGTGGGCTGTTCGCCAGGGATCACCCCCTTATGAGCGCACTCCTGAACCGACCGACGCCGCTGCCGCGTAAATACCCAAGAGCGTCGTGCGCATCGACCCTTGCCCTGAACCACCCCCGCTTCGCGGAAAAATTGTGGCTCGTGGGGCCATGGAACTGTCGGACACATCGCCGTGGAACGTTTCAGGTGCCGGGTAACTACCAGGTTGATCTGATCGGGTCGCCGATGCCCGACGTGTGCCTCCAAGTTTAGGTCGGGCATGTCCTTCCAGAGGCGGATTCAGGACGAAACGTAAGACATAGTTAAAACATAATCATTCAAAAATAGTCAGCCATCGTGGAAAGATCGCTCCCAGACTATTTTTTGTACTATTTTTGACGCTTCCTCCTGCAGAGGGACTCGCCCGACCTAAGAGTACAGTCGGGGCGTTGACCGAAGGAACCCTGAATAAGGAACGAGGCCCCTTTATTTTTCCATAAGCTAGACTTCGATCTCCCATCGAAGACACGAGGAAAACCCGAGGCAAGCTGTGAAACAATCGAGGAACACCGAGCCCCTCCCCAACGGAAAGGGCTCCTTCTTCAGCGCCCCGACTGTACGCCTCCAGATGCCACGGCTCCGACATGGGCCCCGCATCGCAGCGCGCTCGCGCGCCGCTGCGGGGGGGGGCCTCTGCGGGGCGCACGCGGCAGGGCGACCGTCCCCGCCACGAGGAAAAAGGGGCGCCCGCTCCCCGCTTCGTCATCTCCCGCTGGCGACTGCCTACCAAGCCACCCCAGCCCAACCCGAAGGCCCGAATTTCGCCCGAATTTCGGGTTGTGGGGGGGGGGGTACGGGTTCCATGTGTTTTTTCAATGCTCCCCGACCACCCCCCCCACTGGAAATGGAGGGCAAATTGAGGCCTTCGGGCTGGTTTGGGGTGGTTTGGTGGGTGGCGAGTTGGGTGGCCCAAGAGGAGGGTCGAGATTAAGGCGGCTGGTGCAATACATTTGGGGCCATTGTATCGCACATCTCTTGCGCTGGAGAATTGTCTGGTATTGTGTTGCAGCTAATGGTTATTGCACGCGCGAGTCCAGCAACACATCTGCGCCCCGGAAAATCTATTGCACGCCCCAACTCTGCCGCAACTCACGAGTCTATTGCACCACCCCCTTGTATAGCTGGACCCCCCTCTGGGTCAACCAGCATCCTCGTCCACGGCGCCGCTGCCCCTGGCACGCGGCGCCACCGAAGGAAGGCCCCGCCTGCGCGAATGCGGACAGGGCCAAGCACAGGGCGTTCGCGTGGCGCTCGCCTCGCCCGCGCCCCCTCTTCCCAGTCCTCCTGCGTCGAGCCTCCTCGCCCCCAAGTGCCCGAAATCAGACCACGCACCCTCTCGAGCACGAACTCTCGCCAATCCCCACGCCCCCCGCGCCCCCCTCCCCCAAGTGCGACCTCTTCCAGCCTGCAGGGCTTCGCCCATCCCTGGACACTCGCTCGGGCGCCGCCAGCCCATTGGCCCGTGCCGACGGAGGAGGAGAGACGGATCAGGGGCAGAGGGCCTCGCAGGGTGGGTCCCGCGGACGCAGAGCGTGGATGCGGTGAGGGCGACAGCGGCACTGGCAGCAAAGATGGGTGGATCTGGCGTCTCTCGCCAGGCGGCAGAAACGCTCACGGGAGGAAAATGATTGTTTGTTCCCAGATGCCCGACGTGAGGATTGTTTCATGATGTCGGCCCCCAGGAAACTGGACCCATTCCCCGGGACCGGTTTTTCATCCCGAGTCATGTGTTAACGGTCCCGAGGCCTGGTGAAGGCCCCGAGAGGCTGAAAATACAGAAAAGACTTCCGCCGTGTTTTTTCATGACCCGAAGGGGTCTGGGTGATCCTGTGGTAACAGAGAACCGCTTCGCAGGAGGGGCGGAGGGATATGGGGCGAGAAGGGGCGAATGGGGGAGAGGTGGAAGACCAGGACCCGCAATATTGGGAGGGTGAAACATTTCCGGGAAGGCGTTTCGCTGGAATAATGCAGCAATGCGCACGCCACATTCATGCGGATTTGCAGCTTTCAAGGTGCCACCGCGGGCGGGCTGTCTACGGCACGATATGCGCTGCACTGTGCATGGGATCCTGCAAATATTTTGGGAAAAACAATAAGGCACGGCGCCCCACGTGAAGCGGCTCCGAAGCAATGGGCGGGCCCTGACGACGCAGGCCGGAAAATCGTCCTCAACATATCTGCCAACGAAACGCGAAACCGGCCCCGGCGAATTTGTGTATACATGTTGGCTAAGTGTTGCAGGGAAAGCGCACCGGAACAAACTGCGCACCAGTTGAAAACGCATTGACAAATATCCGCCAGTCCCCCAAAGACGCGAGAATCAACACAGATTTTCGCCTGGAAGAGGGGGGGGGAGGGCTGCGGGCACCAATGCTGATGCCATTGGGGAAACAACTGGCGAGAATCGGAGAGGAGGGGGGTGGGGCGACGACAGCGTCGCAACAGCACTCTGCGCCAACGCCGTGACAGTGGAGCATCAGGCCACACCGCGCACCTGGGCCGCAACTCGACGCCCCCTGCAAGATCCCAGAAATGACAGCGGTCAGCCGAAAGCATCACCCGATCTTTTGCGTGCTCCGAAACATGGCACAACTCACCAGAAGGGTGCTCGTGCCGCGGCCTGCTCGCCAGAGACCCTCGCGGATGATGGCCGGGCGGCGGGGCCAGCGGCCGTCTCGTGGGTCTCGGGCACAGCGGGCCCTCAGCGACGGAAGCCCCGGCGGCACCCAACGGGGCGCAGGTGGCCCCGCAGGAGGCGACAGGTTAGAGGGGGAAGGAAGGGAGGGAAGGACGAGGACGAGGGGCAGTGGGCGGAAAAAAGAGCAGTTGCAAGAAGCAAGTGCGCGGACAAGCAGGCTCGGGCTCAGAACGCACGAGGCAGGTTAAGGGCCATGGCTCGCAGACAACAAACGAACATGATGCCAGCGCGTGGACCCCCATCGGGCGATCCGAGCGACACGGTGTGGGGGACTCCTGAGAGATCAGGTGCGCAGGAGGTGGTCCCCGAACGCGGCGTCTACGCGGGCCATGGCGCAGGGCATAGCAGGCGTGGCATTTTCTCGGCACCATAGGGGGTGCGCACGAGGTGGTCCCCGAACGCGGCGCGTATGCGGGCCATGGCGCAAGGCATAGCAGGCGTAGCACTTTCTCGACGCCAGAGAGGGTGTTCAAGGAATGGTCCCCGAAAGCGGCGTCTACGCGGGTCATGGCGCAGGGCGTAGCACGCGTGGCTGTTTCCCGACATCTGAGGGGGTGCGCAGGGGGTGGTCCCTGAGCGTGGCGTCTATGCGGGCCATTGCGCAGGGCATGCCCAGCGTGACACTCCCTCCACAGCAGGACTGTAAACGTTCTGGCTCGGTTGAACGCACAACACGTTTTGGCTTCCCCGCCGCGCCGCCAGGGTCTTTGCGCTGGTGCGACGTAGATTTCCTTTCAACGAGATGCCTCTCAAGTGGGCAATCGCCGAGCTGCCGCCTCCTTCGGAAACTCCTTCGGAATCCAGAGAGAAAAGCGAACGGCCTGTTCTGCTTCCCGCTCATGGAAGCGCACTTCAAGTGGCAGAGCGCCAACATTGTGCACAGGGTCGAAAAGTTTGGGTACGCGCTCAGGCGCGGGCGCTTCCCGACGTCCACCGCGTCACAGGGCCAGACGATCAGCACTAGTGTGGCCATCGACTGCGCGCAGGACTCGAGCATTGGCAGACCGGAGGAAAGAGCGGAGAACTGGTGGCTGCACTTGTACGTGATGCTCAGCAGAGCCACTTGCATGGACGATGTACTGTTACTTCGGCCGCCGGCGAGGGAGGTCCTGCAGAAAAGCCCGCCTCCGTCCGTGCTGAAAGCCCTCCAAAAATTCGATGAGCGCATGGCCGCGGAGAGGTGGGAAATCGAGGCCCTCGCCGGGGAACGTCAATGGATCCTGCCAGCGGCGTGAGGTCGTTGGAGCGCACGGCCGCCAGAGTCTTTCCGACAAAGGCAGCGCTGCCCAGCCGCATCGAATTCGCGCGGCCCGTGCGGCTCCTGGACGATTTCGGAGCGTCCGCCCAGCTTTGGTTGTCGTGGCAACCACAGCCCAGAGATTTTCCATCGAAGGGCGCTCGCATATTGCACGCGTGCGAATCATGCTTGCCATGCCAGTCTTGTGCGCGCGCGCACCTCAGAGACTCTCCGTCGAAGAGACGCGGCGACAGACGTGGAAACTGCATAAGACTAGAAAAAGTAGACCGACCGAGGAAAGAAAGGGAGGCAGGGGTGCGGGAGAACGCCGCATGAGGGGAGGGAGAAAGGGTCACTCTAGAGGCTCCCTAGAGCGGTTGCGCAAGGGGTGTGATTTGCACCAACTTCCACAGTGGGCCTTCTAACACCGCGATGTGGCATATCGTTTTGCATCACCTCACTACTTGTTGCGACCCCGGGAAACGGCCCTCGGTGACCACCTCGAGAGCGTGATCCATCGCCGCTCTACTGTGGACAATTCCTCCGAGCCCGGGGTTCCCCCCCCGAACCCCAGCTGAACCACCCCCCGCCCCCCCCCCCCTTCCCCCCGGCCCCCCCTCCCCTAACACCCCTCCCCTCTCGAAAACCGGGGGGGGGGGGGGGCAACTATCGGTTCGACCCCCACCCCCCTCGAAAACCAGAGAGGGGTCACTACCGACTCGAGCCCCCTCCCACCCTCGAAAACCAGGGGGGGTCACGACCGCTTCGAGCCCCCCGCCTCTCGCAAACCGGGGGGGGTCACTACCAGTTCGACCCCCCCCCCTCGAAAACCGAGAGGGGTCACTACCGGTTCGAACCCCCCCCTCTTCTCGAAAACCGGGGGGCGGTCACTACCGGTTCGAACCCCCCCCCTCGAAAACCGAGGGGGGGGTCACTACCGGTTCGAATCCCCACCCCCCCCTCGAAAACCGAGGGGGGGTCAATACCGGTTCGAATCCCCCCCCCCCCCCCTCGAAAACCGGGGGGGGGGTCACTACCGGTTCGACCCCCCCCTTCGAAAACCGAGTGGGGTCACGTTCGAGCCCCCCGCCTCTCGCAAACCGAGAGGGGTCACTACTGGTTCGAACCCCCCCCCCACGCTCACCGCCAGCAAACAACTCTGGGTCCCTACCACCGTCCGCACCACATCCCCTACTGCTGTCCCCAACACCACTGTTCTCACCACCGCTGTCCCCGCGGTTCCCACCACCGTCACCACTGTCCTCACCAGTGCCCCCACAACTGTCTCAGTCCCCACCGTCCCCACCACTCTTCCCACCACGGTTCCACTCCCCACTTTCTCCACGGCCCCAACCACTGTCCCACTGTCCCGACTGTCCCACTGTCCCCCCCGCTGTCCCACTGAGCTGTCCCACTGTTCCCACCACAGTCCCCACTGTCCCCACCACTGTCCCTACTGTACCTGTGTCCCATTATCCCACCGCCGTCCTCGCCACCGCCCTCACCACAGTCGCCACCAGCACTGTACCCTCCACTGTCCCACTGTTTCCACCACATTCCCACTGTCCCCACACCACTGTCCCCACCACCACCGTCCCCACCACTGTCCCACTATTCCCACTGTTCCCACTGTCCCCACCGCTGTCCCTACTGTACCTCTGTCCCATTATCCCACCGCCGTCCTCGCCACCGCCCTCACCACTGACGCCACCACCACTGTACCCCCTACTGTCCCACTGTTTCCGCCACTTTCCCATTGTCCCCACACCACTGTCCCCACCACCACCGTCCCCACCACTGTCCCACTATTCCCACTGTTCCCACCATTGTCCCCGCTGTCCCCACCAGTGCCCCCACCAGTGTCTCACTGTCTCCACTCTCCCCGCCACTGTCCCACCTCAATCCCACTCTCCCACTTTCCCCACGGTCCCCACCACTGTCCCACTGTCCCCACTGTTCCCACCACTTTCCCCACTGTACTACTGTCCTACCACTGTCCGCACCACCGCCTTCACCACTGTCCCACCACTACCGTCTCCACCACTGTCCCACTGTCCCCACCACTGTCCCGCTGTCCCCTCACCACTGTCCCTACCACCACCGTCCCCACCACTGTCCGCACCACTGTCCCACTGTCCCCGCACCACTGTCCCCACCACCACCGTTTCCACCACTATCCCAACATCCCCACCATTCTCCAACTGTCCCGAGGAGCGGGCATCGTTTGGCGGCGAAGGGGGGGGGGTCGAACCGGTAGTGACCCCCCCCGGTTTTCGAGGGGGAGGGGGGGGGGTTCGAACCTGCAGTGACCCCACCCCCCGGTTTTCGAGGAGGGGGGGGGTTCGAACTAGTAGTGACCCCCCCCCCTTTTCATGATGGACTGGGGGGGGTGTTGGAACCAGTAGTGACCCCCCCGGTTTTCGAGGGGGGGGGGGACGGGTTAGGAAACTCCAATGACCCCCCCTCTGTTTTCCGCCAGCAGCGGTAGAACACGCTCTTTCCAACATAGGGGAACATTCGCGACGAGTGTTTAGAACGCAGGCTTGCGCATATGTCATCATGATCAGAAAACACATGGAGACTTAGCTTAAGTATGTGGGGCCCATCGGTAGCGTAAGTGTTATTGTTGTTGTTGCTGTTGTTGTTATTGCTGTTGTTGTTGTTGTTGTTGTTGTTGTTGGTGTTGTTGTTGCTGTTGTTGTTGTTGTTGGTGTTGTTGTTGTTGTTGTTGTTGTTGTTGTTGTTGTTGTTGTTGTTGTTTGTTGCTTTTGTTGTTTTTGTTGTTTTTGTTGTTGTTGTTGGTGTTGTTGTTGTTGTTGTTGTTGTTGTTGTTGTTGTTATTGTAAAGGTTGTTGTTGGCTTTGTCTTTGTTGTTCGTACTGTTACTGGTTTTGTTGCTGCTGTTGTTGCTGCTGCTGCTGTTGTTGCTGCTGTTGTTGTTGTCGTTGCTGCTGTTGTTGCTGCTGTTGTTGCTGCTGCTGTTCTGGCCGTGCTGCGCAGAGCGACTCCGCCCGGGGGCGGGGCCCGGGTCCGACGAGGCTCCGTTCGCGGGGACCCCCTGGAGCCCCCCGCGCGAGAAGGAGAGGCTTCGGAGGCCGGACGGGTAAGATGGCGATGCGGTCCACCCGTATACGGAGGGTGCGCGGTAAGTTAGCGCGCGAACAACGGTATAAAAGAAACTTTTTCGCCGTCGGGGACATCTGCCCCTGGGCGGCTGGGCGGCTGGAAAGTTTATACCCCTACGGTGCCACCGTAAGGGTATAAACTTTCCAGCCGCCCAGGGGCAGGTGTCCCCGACGGCGAAAACGTTTATTTTATATTGTTTTTCGCTCGCTGAGTAAGGGTGCGCGGGCCTCAGAGGGCCGGGCCGACACTTTTTGAGCGGGGCGCGGCCAGCGGAGGTGGCCAAAGAGGGGCCGAAGGGGGAGGATGCGAGGTGGCCCTGGGCAGTTGCTCATCCTGGCTGCTGTGCGGGTTTGCTGCGCAGCCGAAGCTGAGTTCAAGACGCCTAGCATTTCAGAGATCTGGGCCAGCTTGCCGTAAGGTTCTTTGAAACAGCCTGGGCCAATGCTGGCGGTTCAGGCTAGAAGGGGGGCGAACGTGCTCAAGAAGCTGGGGCAACTTTCCGGCAAGTTAGCCAAGAAACGCTGGCCCACCTTTCGGGAGGACGTATCTTGGTCGGATGCTCGACTGACGCGCCGCGGCTAGGAGAGCACTCCAGACCTGACCACGCGTACCCAACACGGAACGGAGTCGCAGGAGCGGGCAGCCTCGATCTGGCGTCCTGTGACTGACATGGCCCAGGCTGTTCGCGCAGAGGAGCAAGAAAGGCATGCACACAAACTTTTGGGGCTCCGAGCGGATTCCTTGAATCTGCGCTAGACCCCCATCCCTGGCGAGCAAAGCGCGCTACCGAACCTCCTCGCGGAGCCCAGACAAATTGTGTTCATGCAAGCTGTCGTTCTCTCAGGGGGCGAACAACGGTATACTATAAACTTTTCCGCCGTCGGGGACGCCTGCCCCCACCCCGGGCGGCTGCAAAGTTTTGACCTCTACGGGGCCACGTAGGGGTGCACACTTTGCAGCCACCTGGGGGGCAGGCCTCCCCGACGGCGGAAACATTTATTTTCTACCGTGCTTCGCCCGCGATCTTTTTCGATGTCGCGCACTTGTGGGATCCAGAACCTGGATAGCGGAGCGCCGGAAAGCCTTCCAGAACCCTCTGGAAGGAACTCTGGCAACACCTGGAGGGAGCTTCCGAAGGAGCTTCTGGAGAGCTTCCCGGCACACGTATTGGGAAACCCCGCCCGCTAATGCATGGATGTCGCGCAATACTTCATAACAGGGGATGCGTCGACCCCTATCCCAGGCTCCGTGAGGTTTTCGAGAGGATCAACAATTTGGGGCCCAACCCTGGGATATACGAGGGGGGGGCGTCCATCCTCGACAGGGGTGCGTCCGAATAGCCCCCTCGGGATGTATCCCAAGATTCCTCCCCTTAGCGACCAAACTTTTCTGGCGGAAGTCGGGGATTGGGGGAGAGAAATCGCCTGCGACTTCATCATCTGTGGTCTCTGCAGGCAGCCCCCTCCCCTGGTCCCTTTGCGGGCCCCCCCGTCGAGCCTTCCGCGCCCACCGGCCTGGCCTCCGAGGCGCCGGGGCAGAGGTCCGATGCCATGGCCTGGGGCGCGATCCCTTGCGCCCCCCTGCTCCTTGTCCTCGTCCTCGTCGTCGTCGTCCTCCTCCTCCTCCTCCTCCTCCTCTTCCTCCTCTTCCTCCTCTTCCTCCTCTTCCTCCTCCTCCTTTCGCCTTATCCTTCCCCCCCCTTCGTTCCCCCGTCCCCTCCTCCTCCTTCCCCTCCTCCTCCTCCTCCTCCTCCTCCTCCTCGTATTCCTCCTCCTCGTATTCCTCCTCCTCGTATTCCTCCTCCTCCTCCTCCTCCTCCTCCTCCTCCCTCCTCCTCCCCGTCATCCTTCCCCCACCGCCAACCTTCGCCACCTCTCCCCCCTCTGCCTCGCACCGCGGGCTGGCAACGGCGAAAGGCTCGGTTATGGTCCGACTTGGAGGCTTCGGTCGGCGACTCGGCTGTGTCGGGTCGCGGAGACAGGTGAGCGACGAAACCAAAATGGTCTTGCGCGAGATGACACAGCGAGCGACCTTGCGCGGCGGCTTTCGCGGGCCGCCGGCGCGGCACGCTGCGCTGGACGCGAGGGCGCTTACGCGCGACCCTGCGCGGGCAGCTTGCGCGCCACTGTCGGCGAAGCCGACACTGCTCTTCCCTGCGTCGCCCAGGTGCTCGGCCAGCGACTCGGGGGCCCCGTGGCCTCTTGGCCCCTCGAGGCCCGCCGCGGCCTCCCGGAGCGCCTCGGCCGGGTCCCGCGTGCCGGGGGGGGGGGGTCCAAGAGTGCGGCGCGGGAGCTCCCGCGGTCGAGGTCGAGCAGACTGCGGGCCACAGATCGCCAGCCTCCATCTCCCTGCGGTGACGGGAAATGCTGCTCTCGAGTGGCAGCGCGAGGCCTGCCATTCCCCTTGCCCTCCTTGCTCCGTAGGCCTCCCTTGACTGGACGCCTGGTCGACGCTGGGACCCCGTAGGCGTCCTCAATACTCTCCTCGGTGGTCAGCCTTCGCCCTTCGTCAAACCCTGGCTGCTGGTGTGGGCACCGTATTGTGTCTACTCTCCGCTCCTTCCACCCTCCCCCTCCCTCTCTTTCTCCTCCTCCTCTTCCTCCTCCTTCTCTGCCGCCTCAATCTCCCCGCCATCTGCTTCCGTTCCAGCTCCAACTCCCCATCCTTCTCTACCTCCTCCTCTTCCTCCTCCTCCTCCTCCTTCTAGCACCGCCCGCTGATGTCCATTTGAATGTTCAACTCGATACCCGCTCTGATTAGCCGACTATGCTTCACCTTCCCCTCCTCCTCCCTCTCCTGCTCCTCCTCCTGCTCCTCCTCCTCTTCCTCCTCCTCCTCCTCCTCCTCCTCCTCCTCCCCCTCCTCCTCCTCCTCCCTCCTCCTCCTCCTCCTCTCTCCTCCTCCCTCCTCCTCCCTCCTCCTCCTCCTTCCTCCTCCTCCTACTCCTCCTCCTCCTCCTCCTCCCCCTCCTCATCCTCCTTCTTCTCCTCATAAGCATCATCATCATAATCATCATCATCATCGTCGTCGTCATCATCATGATCATCATCATCATCATCAGCATCTTCGTCATCACCATCATCATCCTCCTCATCATCAGCATCATCATCACTAGCATCATCATCATCGTCCTCATCATCGTTACCATCATCATCATCATTGTCATCAGCATCATCATCAGCATCCTCATAATTACCATCATGATCGTCGTCGTCATCATCATCATCAGCATTGTCAACGCCAACGTCGTCCTCATCATCGTCATCATAATCATCATCCTCCTCTTCATCGTCGTCGTCATCACCCATCTGCTCATCGTCAATATTCCCATCTTCATCGCCATCATCATCGTCATCGTCGTCATCATCAACACCGCCATCGCCAACAATACAACCATCAGCATCACCATCATCATTAATCATCTCGACATCATCATCATTAGCATCATCCGCATCATCATTATCATCAGCACCATCACCACCATCTTCAATCATCATCAGCAGCATCATTTATCCTGCCAACCTCATCACCATCATCAGCATCAACATCATCATCTTCGTCAGCATCATCACCATCATCAGCATCATCGTCAACATAGCCATCAACATCATCATTATCATCAACAACATCATCATAAGCGTCTCCACCATCACCATAAGCGTCATCATCATCACCACCATCACCACCATGATCACCGTCGTCGTCGTTGTCGTCGTCGTCGTAGTCGTTATCGTTTCGTGGCCGTCATCGTCACAATCATCAGTGTTGACACCGCCGATCATCGGTTCTCGAGTCTCGTCTCCCCCCAATTTCAGCGCGGCTCTCTGAGCCGCTTCCACGGCCAAGTCGGCCGGCCCTCCTCCTCCTCCCCCTCCTCCTCCTCCTCATCCTCCTCCCCCTCCTCATCCCCCCTCTCCTCGTAATCATCATCATCATCATCATCATCATCATCATCATCATCATCATCATCATCATCATCATCATCATCATCATCAGCATCGTCATCGTCGTCGTCATCATCATCATAATCGTCATCGGCATATCATCACCATCATCATTGTCAACTTCAACGTCGTCGTCGTCATCGTCATAATCGTCGTCATAATCATCATCATTATCCTCATCGTCGCCATCATTCATCTGCTCATCATCTTCATCAACATCAACATCAGCATCATCATCGTCATCATCAATACCACCATCGCCAATAATACCACCATCAACATCACCATCACCATCACCATCATCGTCACCACCACTACCACCATCACCACCGTCTCGCCATCATCATCATCAGCATTATCCGCATCATCATTATCATCAGCTCGAGTCTCGTCTCCCCCCAATTTCAGCGCGGCTCTCCGAACCGCTTCCACGGCCAAGTCGGCCGGCCCTCCTCCTCCTCCTCCTCCTCCTCCTCCCCCTCCTCCCCCTCCTCATCCTCCTCCTTCTCATCTTAATCATCATCATCATCATCATCATCATCATCATCATCATCATCATCATCATCATCATCGTAGTCATCATCGCCATCAGCATCATTACCATCATCATTGTCAAGTTCAACGTCGTCGTCGTCATCGTCATCATCGCCGTCAGAATCATCATCATCCTCATCGACGTCATCATTCATCTGTCCGTCATCTTCATCACCATCAGCATCATCATCGTCATCATCAACACCACCATCGCCAATAATACCACCATCAACATCACCATCACCATCATAATCATCGTCACCACCACTACCACTATCATAACTGTCTCTCCATCGTCATCAGCGTTATCCGCATCATCGTTATCATCAGCACCATCAGTAATCAACATCACCATCAGTATCAGCATCACCATGATCCTGCCAACCTCATCATCATCATCATCATCATCAACACCATCATCACATTCGTTGTCATCATCAGCACCATCACCATCATCAACCTCATCATAATCGTTATCATAAGCATCATCATACGCATCATCACCACCATCATCATCATCATCATCGTCATCATCATCATCATCATCATCATCATCATCATCATCATCATCATCATCATCATCATCATCATCGCCACCGTCGTTGTCGCTGCCGTCGTCGTCGTCGTCGTCGTCGTCGTCGTCGTCGTCGTCGTCGTTATCGTCATCGTTTCGCGGTCGTCATCGTCACAATCATCGTTTCGTGGGCTCCTGAGAGGTTCAGCGGAGTCGGGGGCCACGCGCAACCAGACGGGACCTCGCTGCCCCCTCAGTGGCTGCGAACTGCGCAACTGTCACCACTTTCGTGGGTTCCTGGGAGGTCCAGCGGAGTCGGGGGGCACGCGCACCCAGAGGAGAACTCGCGGCTCCCAACGAGGCTGCCAACTGCACAACTGTTGGTAATGTCGTGCGCAAGAGTGCTGCACACCCCTCAGGGTGTTCGCTTGTGCACAGCACGCCTTTCCATAATTAGCCGCCTTGCGTGGAGAAGTGGGTTTGGGTACGTCTCGGGACAATTCTCGTGCAAACAAACGAACTCCACACGATGCGCATCCTCAACTGCCATGCGATTCCAGCGATTCCTCGCTCCTCTCTCTTGGCCTCCGCGAGCCCAGACCCCCGACGTTGTTTTGTTGTTGTTGTTGTTGTTGTTGTTGTTGTTGTTGTTGTTGTTGTTGTTGTTGTTGTTGTGTTTCTTTTTTCTTCTTCTTCACAACGTCTACCCCAAAACGTCTAGACCCCTTCCCCGAGATCGGCTTCCCATCCCGAGTCGTTTCTTGACGCTCCCGGGGCTTTGGTAAGGGCCTCCGGAGGCCGAAGATAGCGAGAAACCTCCCTCGCGCCATGTTTCCTGCTCATTACGCGAGGGGGGGTTGGGAAGCCAGCGCCCTTCGCCCCACCAAGGGCGCGCGCGGGAGGCGCGTGCCAGAGGCCGCGCCGAGCACTACGCCGGCGCCGACGCCGACGCCGACGACGACGCCGACGCCGACGCCGCCGCCGACGACGACGCCGACGCCGACGACGACGACGCCGACAACGCCGACGACGAGGACACCGACGAGGACCGCGCGCGCTTGCGCTTCGCCTTCTGCGCGCGGCGCCTCGGCTGACTCCCCAGAGGTGCGCACGCGCCCGAGGCCCCGAGCGCGTCCGGCGGGCTCTCGCCGCGGCCGTGCGCGAGGGTTGGCGTCGGCCGGGGGCCGGAGGAGGAGGAGGAGGGGGAGGAGGAGGGGGAGGAGGAGGGAGGAGGAGGAGGGAGAAGGAGAATGGGGGAGGGGGAGGAGGGAGGAGGAGAAGGGGAGGGGGGAGGAGGAGGAGGAGGAGGAGAGGAGGGAGGGAGGGAGGGGAGGGAGGGAGGGAGGGAGGGAGGAGGGAGGGAGGGAGGGGGGAGGAGGAGGAGGAGGAGGTGGAGGAGGAGGAGGAGGAGGAGGAGGAGGAGGAGAGGAGGCAAGGAGGAGGAGGAGGAGGAGGAGAGGAGGAGGATGGAGGAGGAGCAGAGCAGGAGATGAGGAGGAGGAGAAGGACGAAAAGGAGGAGGAGGAGGAGGAGGATGAGGAGGAAGGAGGAGGAGGGAGG